TCGAATTTTCCAACTCTATCCTTTTCTGGACCACTTTCCAAAATTATTAAAGATCGTTTTCAAGTCATTTAAGGCAATAAAAAAGTGGCATGTGAGGGGTCAATCGTTTACGAAACTTTTCTGCAAACTAGAGGCTCCAAGGAAGGTCTCGACACCCATGAAACTTCATTTTTCCAGAATTTTGTTTAAATACCTCTTATTTTTTAAATGAAAAATTGAAATCTCACGACAGTCAAGACCTTCCCCGGGGTCTCTATATCCACGTGGGAGAATTTCAAACGTTTCGACACGTCCACGAGAAAGAAAAGTGTCATAAATGATTAACCTCCCGGTCTAACTTTCATGTCGCCTTAACGATACCATGGAAAGGGGCACTCTATGGATTCTCTTGATCGATGGGATGCATCTAGGTGGAAGTAAACGACATATCGACGACGGATCGCGGACATATCGGTCACATATCGACGATAAATCAATGATAGATACTTGCCTAGCGAATAATGGCGCCGATCGTTCGCGACGAGATGGAAAACCGATAGGGCCGGTGCGTTTTCGCGTGACCGCGTTCCGGATGTTCCGCTCTATTCCCACGAGGATTCCGGCCTTCCCTGAAGGACGTCCCTCCGAAGGATGCTCTTCCACTGGACGCGCACTCCAATTAAGGCGGCCCTGTCCCGATCGAAGGTCGGGTCGCGCGGTGTGCGCGTAGCCTTAAGCGGGACGGAAATACCCATCGTCGTCCTGGTCCACCGGTGCCCTTAGGTTCACATATGGATACGAATATGACGGTGCCCACAGCGTGGGTCGCTTTGTTCCTCCTCGTGGCTCCGTCTTCCCCTCGCAGGGCCGTGTTCTTCAGGCGCCGGGCACCCACGGATGATCGTGTCCTCCTTTTTTTCGTTTTCCGCCGCAACGAGCGCTCCTTTCTCCGCATAAATGTTTCATTAGATCCTCATAAGCCGCGCCGGGTCTCCAGAATGATTTCTCGCTCGGCTTGAACCCGTTCGAGGTGGCGTGTGAACGGAACCTGGCGACGTTCTCGAGCAGAATCGCCGTTTAGTCGGCACAACCCGTTGCCGTTTAACCTATACACGGTAATCGGGCCATTTTAACTGAATACCGTCACATCAAATCATAATTCTGCCCCCTGCATATCCTATCTGGCGCTCTGCGCCATATTCTCGTGTAGATAATCACGATCAATAGCAAAGGGAAATAAAAAATGTGGATCTATTTCTCGAGGAGAAAGGTTTATCATTTTCTTAAATTTGTAGCGGCTTTCAGGAATAACCCCCGTCCGTTGTCGCCAATGACGCGACATTTAGGCTTCCTTTCCTGCCTCGATTTTTTCCCACTGTTGCGAAGTCGCATCACTGGTCAAGGCTTGAAAGTCGTATACGAGAGTGTCAATGAACATCGATGAACTCGAGAATCGGGTCTCCGATCTGATCTGCATTCGACACCTGAATGGGACAAAATCTCGTTACACATCGTAGATAAAGTTGTCTGTATGAGTTTCCTGTTCAACAATGTATTTGGCTCGAAACTCTACCGAGTTTCTTGATCTTCAAACCTAGGCTTACCTTAAAATAAAGAGATGGCTGGATGTCGATCGAAATATCGGACTCCCCTGAACCCTGATGGGGCCCCGGCCCCTACAGGGAGGGTCGCTAGTCACGTCAGTGGGCAGCTCGCTCGCGATAATAAGTATGCATGCGCATCGCCATTGTACCTTGGCTCGGCTCGGCTCGGCCTGGGCTTATTGTTTCGGAGAAAGGTGTGCAGGGGTCCCGAAGGCGCACCGCGTCGCCCTGTTGCCTTCAAAGCGACTCTTCTAAAAGCGAAAATGAAATTGGACTCGGTGGGAAGAAAAGTGACTTTCTCACGTGTCTATCGCCGACTCGACCGATTGACGTTTCAGGTGCCCGCCGTCTCTCAGGGTCGATGAGAAGATTCTCATCTGAACTTCTGCAGTGAAAAATCCAGGCTGGGGGCCTGTTCCATAACTCGTAACGGCAGATATCGCTATCATTATCCCATGTTATCCCAATGGGCTAACAATAACGATATCTGTCATTAAGAGTTAGAGAATAGAACCTCTGAAGGGCCATTCGTCGATTTGGAAATTATACCAAGGAATTAGTGATGAATTTGGGCATTGATTCCATAACTCGTAACGGCAGATATCGTTATCGTTATCCCATGTTATCCCAATGGGCTAACAATAACGATATCTGTCATTAAGAGTTAGAGAATAGAACCTCTGAAGGGGCCATTCGTCGATTTGGAAATTATATCAAGGAATTAGTGATGAATTTGGGCACTGGAAGGGTTGATATGATGGACAATCGCGAAAACCGGAGATTATCGAGGAATTAATGATAAATCTGGGCACTAAAAATGTTATTTTCTGGCCCTCCAAGATGAATCGCGAGAGCCGAGGCTGAAAAGAAAAGTAACTTCTTTACGTGTCTATCGTCTACTTGGCTGGCCGACCTTTTAGGTGGCCACCGTCTTTCAGGGTCGATGGGATAATTCTAATCTCAACTTCTGCAGTCAATAATCAGGACTAGAAGGGCCATTCGTCGACCTGGAAATTACCAAGGAATTAGTGATAAATTCGGGCACTAAAAAAGTCGATTTCGAGGGCCTCCAAGGTGGGTCGCGAGAGCCGAGGCTGACTCAAGGAAGGGCTTTGTCTCGACGGCGCCCCGCCCTTTGCGGGGCCGGGTGCCCTTGACCCTGGAGCCCCAGCCTGGGTCCTCTTCAACCTCTTCTTTTCCATTCCCCCTCCCCTTGCACCGCAGGAGGAAAGGTTGAGTCTCGCGCGGCAGTTCTCGCAATCGCCTACGAGGAGTTAAGGCCTTTTTTACAAACGTTTCTACGATTAAATTGATCCGAGTAAGTGCCCGGGGTAAAGGCCGAGAGGAGGCTCGTTTAAGTGGGAGCCCCGAAGAGGGAGGATTCCATCATCGACGCGTCCGCCTTATCGGTTCCCCCTAAGTCGACAGGCAGTAATTTGTACTTTCTCTAATATATCTCCGGTTACTGCCCGATGGTCTCAAGAAAGAGAGAGAGTGGGTACCCATCGATGGTCAAATTGCCCGATTCCGTGGATGGATTGCTTCGTCTTTTCCAATCCGGGGTTCTAAGCAACAAGTTGCATCGACAAGTGCATCTCCCACGTCCGCTACGTGCAGTTGCATAGGTGCCCACAGGAGCGACCGTTTCGGAAATTCAATCCCACTTAACGAGCTGATCTATATAAGTCGTGATCGTTAAAGCTCTTAAGGCGTTATGGAAGGGTCATGCTGTATACATCAAAACGTGAAAAAAATGTATACATCTTTTCTCCAAACTGCAAGATGCCCAAAATCATTTGAATCTTTATCACGTGATTATGAAGGATGTAAGTAAGAACGATGACGCTCGTGAAATGTCATTTCTTCTAATTGAGCGGACCGGATCGCTTCAAATTTCAAAACGGGAATATGGAAGTTTTAAGGATGACCCATGAAATTTCAAGTTTTAAAAAACTTGTTTATAGACGTTTTAACAATTTGTTGATAAACTATGAAATTCCATGGGTGCCGGAACCTTCCTTACAGCCTCTATAGTCACATTGTAAAGTTTGAAAAGATTCGGTATACTCAGTTTAAAGAAAAGTTTAATTTGAACGATTGACCCCTTAGTTGTCACTTTCACGTCCCCTTAATCTCTAACGTCAACATCTGCCATTACTACACAGATCGCTCGAATCCCCGAACAAATCGCTTTGTCTTTCCCAATTGAAAATCTAGAAACCGTGTAAAGCTTCCAGCAACGAGTAACATTAAGGTGAAGTGAAACATCCTTCAAATCAGTCGATTCGAATACAACACTTTTTTTTTAGGGGTATTAGACCAAACTGTCCGAAACTTTGACACATCACTCCTGATCATCTAAGAGTTGTCCTGACACATTCAACATTTGGATTTTTCAAAAAAAATTTTTAACTCAGTCCAGACCAGAACCAAAATGGCGTCGAGCTCTGATATTTCGATCAATATACAATTATCGAAGGCTCTGATATGAGAATCGAAAGGATCAGGATAATTTTACGACAATTTAGAACACTCTGGTAATCGATAAACTCGCATTTGAACGGGATAAAGGCAAAAAAAGTGTTGTATGCGCTTCTATGCCAAAACGATGGTAATACGAGGTCTCGGAGTGAAAATTTAATTGACCTGGAAATCACAGATGGCGCAGGGGGTCCCTCCACAGTCAATTAGGGCCCCAGAAGGCATGAATCCAGAGGATTTCTGGAGTTTTACTTCGATTTCTTTATAATTATTGTACGAAAACGACAGGTGGAGTACGCCATTTGGTACAATACCCAATATAATTCGATATAGCTGTCAATATAAAAACGAACGTCGGCAACGTAGGCATTTAGAAAAATCTTCTTTATCGACGTTGATCAAGTTCCTCGACGTGTTTCACTTCACCTTAAGTGCCCATGACCATTTGGGAACAAGCAGAGTTTAGAGAAGCGATCGCACGAACCAAGCGGATCTAAATCGAGGTTTCGGTCCCCAGTTTCCGGTGGCAGCGCGTCCCGATCCGTCAAGGCTCTGGCTCGTTAGGGGCCGTCGACGTCGCCGATTTACATCGAGAGGCGTAATGTCGGGCGCCTCGGCGGGCAGTGGCTATCATCATTTGCCGGGCTCACGGCGGGACAGCGATACGATCGCGAAATCGTCGGTAATAACGGCCGTGCCAATCGCGGCTACCAGAAGTCGGCGGGGACGCGCCCCCGGTGCGTTTATTAAATTACGCGAAATTATCGGCCGGCCCGGCTTAGCGCCGCTTCTTTCGCCGGCAGGCGCGATCTCGTCGTTGCCGCTCCTGGTCGCCCCGTCCAGTAATTGGGCCGGGTTCGGGATCGCGTGCTTACATATCCCCGACGCCCCCGGTGTCGCAAATCGCTCATGTCGCGACCGCACTTCTGCTTGCAGGTTCGCGAGCCGAACAGCTGACGAAGGGAAGGAGCGCGGCGACGTCGGCCGACGTCTTCGCAGATAATCAAAATTGGCTAGCCGGAGGAGAGGGAGAGTTCGACCCTCTGGAGGCCGCAGAGGGAGTCGCAGCTCGCGCGTCCCGAGGCGCAGCGGCTCCTCGGGGTGCGCGAAGTCTACGCACGCGATGTCTCGCCGATGGGAAGATACCCGCTTCGCCGTCTCGGACCCGTTCCCGCCGGATGAGAGGTGGCACACCTCTTGCACTCCTCGATTTTACAGAAGTTAAATTTAAGGAAACTCACGGTAATTGAAGGGGGGAAAAAAAAGAAGAGAGAATCAATGATAGCGGGGCAACGACTAGGGCGAAGTGTCCCATCGGCTGGACCAGGATGCCCCCAAGGCCCGAAGATGCACTTTGTGTATAGCAAGGTGCGTCGACGTTACAAGGTGGTGATCGCATCGCCGGAAAAACGAGGAAAAAGCCGCTCTAATCTCTGGGACAGGAGAAAGAGCGATGCGTCGCATGGAGCGCAGGTTCAGGACACGAATGCCATAATGATGACCAAGTTTCTCGTGGTTGTACTTAAGTCATACGTTATTTTAGCGCTTAAGACGGTTAGCCTTATTATCGATTCGCATTCCATTATCAGAGTGTCTTATTTTAATTATTAGTACGTTTATCATAGTTACTCTCAAACGGTCCCTGTCACCCCCTCCCTTACTTCCCGGGGCCAGTTCCTCCGTTCCCGCCCTTTGGAGAAATCAGTTCGTACTTGTCAGAGGAAGAGCTTAGCGAGAGGATCGGATGCGACTGGGAAGATGTCGAGCGCTCGATCGTATCGCTTAATTAATAGGAATCGTTTCTTCGATCGCTATCGCGTTTATGAGATCGATTAGCCACGAGCGTGTGCCTAGTGACACGAGAAATGCGCGAACGCTTGTCCTGCCCGTTTCCCTTATTTCCGTTGTCCGTTTTTCCTTTCGCAAAGGATGATAGAGAGCGACCAAACGGGACATCGCGAGTTTCAACGTTATCCTTACTTCGTGACCGTGTCTTATTCCAAGTTCTCTGCATAGTATTCCGGCGAAAGTCCGAATTTCAAGTCGGGATCTCTGTCGTAGCCTTCAGCTTGGGTCCTGACCGGAGGTCGGACTCGAGGTCGCCTTCCGACTCCCCCGCGGTCCCGAGCCTTGGTTCGGGCTTTGGTCTCATTATTGTGATTACTACATAGAATACACGTAAACCTAAAGTAGCGTAGGTTAGGCTTTTTGCAATTGTGTGTATGGAGTAGCGAGTGGCCGTGTATTTCGCGAATCGATTAGCGACCGATCGGAGCTCGAACGAGTGCGCCTAGCATCGGGGATGACGAGTCCGAGTACGTTGAGTTTCAGCGAAACCAGGGGATCGATTCTGTTTCTTTGGTGGGAGCGGTTATTTTTCGCTGTCATCTCACGTGAGTTCATTTACCTGACTCTGCATCCCCCGAGCGAAAATTTTAAATCCCTAGACCGAAAGAAGTAGTAGACCCGAAATCTCACGTGAGATTGGCCGAGTAGTCTCACGCGACATATCTCACATTTTTACCGTAGTGAAAGTTACGGAATCGACCCCCTGGAAACAGAAGTGCCGAAACAAGTCTCTTTCTTTCTTCCTATCTTTGTCTCCTTCCTCTTCCTCGAAAATTTTCAAGTGGCCTTATAAGAAGACTTCGAAACGGCCTCGAACTTGAACCTTGCGTAGACTCTGGAAAAAAAAAAAAAAATGAAAGAAGTCGGTAAAAAAGGAAGAACGCGCCCGTTCAAAGAACTCGAAGTCAAGTTTGGATTAACAGTCCCGAAAAAAGAAGTCCCTTGTCCACCTTCACTCGAAAAGAGAAATTAAATCGTTGCCTTTACACCGCCGACTGCGGCGGGACGAATCGGGCCTTATACTTGTATGTCTTGTTAAGAAAAAGAAAAGAAGAGAAAAAAAAAAAAGAGAAAAATCCTGAAATCCCCGCGATAGACCCGCCTTCACCGAGATCTCGCCCGAGCTCGTCACTGTGCTCAGGAAATCGATTCGACATTCGACAATACACGAACGACGATGTGACAACGAAACGCGATCCGATACATTCCAACCCCTGACATTCTCAGGCCAGGTGAGAAGCTCGCGATCGGGAATAGATATGTTAAAATCACGTGAGGAGCTAGCGATTAAGTGTGTATCATAAGTTTTAAGATAACGTTTAGCTGCGTAGACTACACATTATATATGACGGCATACATTGCATCGTCTGTAATTTTCATAGTTTTTTTTTTTTTTTTTCTAGGGAAGGCACACGGTCCCCTTTACGATCGAACTCGGTGCGTCGTAGTTATTCCCTGCGAATAAGTATCTCGCACACAGACGTTCTCAAGTAGCACGATTTTGCCACGATGACGGACAGCTTACGAGAGTCCCTGAATGCATTCCTTGTGATTCCTGGTTAAGACGATACCGTTTCACCTTTTTATTTTCCAAGAGTCTGGTTCACCGGCACGAGGACATCCTTTCCGGAATGTCGAAAACTGTGATGCTCCTGACCGGATGAATACTTCCTAACCTTTTATCTGCGCCGTTCGTTTCTGTTCATCGATATTCTGTAATAATGGACACAGGTTAAATGAGGAACAGCCGCGGAATGTGAATTGAAACGCTGTTTTCCCAGAAGGTACATATAGATAAGTCAAACGTACCATCTCGTAGAGGTTATATACCGGTAAACTGGAATAGCGCGGCTAAAGGGTTAACTCTTATTTACCTTTCTTTACCCTTTCCCCTGTATCGATGAACCTGATAATCGATCGCGTTTTCGCGGCGAAGTGCTCACACGTAAGGGTCGAGGATCGTTGTGCCTTCATACGCTCGTCAAGTTTGTTCGACGACGGCGAGAGGGGCGGACATACATTTGTGATTCCATAAGCAGTTGTTCAATTTTTTTTTTTTTTAATACTTTCTGTAATGCTTATATAGACTAGCCTGTATACCCTAAAGAGTGTTTCAATAAATGACATGTGAAATCAGACAGGTTTCGTCACTGCCCATTCTTTCCACCGGAATACCAGTATTCATATTACAGGTGGACTTTTCAAATCCTAACAAACCGATTCGATCGAGCCAATCATCGATTGAATCGGTCACGTGTTCCCTGACCACGTGCTCATACCGCCAAAGGTCAAACGAATCTAGCGCCACCCGTGGACCACGGCAGAACTATTCAACACTTTACCACGAACAGAGGGCAGCACTTATCGAGAGCAGAAAATGTAAAATAAAAATTCAATCGCGCTCCCAACATATGGTTGACCGGTTACGAGTTAACTCGTGCCGGAACGACCAGCGTTCTAAAATTGCCGGCCAACATGGTGTTAATTGCAAAATAAACTACCGATGTCGTCATCTCGTACGTCATCTCTAATCGAATCTGGAAATGAATTTAAATGTTTCATATATCGAGCGGTAAAAAATCGCCGCAAAAGTATCTTAAATTAATTCTAGTAAAAATCGGTCAAGCTAGAGAAATATTTCCCGATTCTCTGAATGCTCCACTCCAAAGGGTCTTTCAAGGAAATTTGTGCGAGGACGAATGGCCAGGGTTGGGTAATTTCACGATTTTCAATGTTTTTGACGTATATTACGTAAATCAAGTAGTTTACCATAGAAAACGTAGAAAACCAGAAGAAAACGTATCAAATATGGCGGACAAGACAGCCGTAGGGCATGCGGTATCCGCTAGGTTATAAACATCCATCTTGTCCATTTGTTTAATTACATCATTTACTTTTTGATCTCCGACCTTTACACATTTTCATACAAATATTGGTTACGAATCTTAGGACTTCAAATAGCCGTTACAAACAAACGTCAAATGCACATATATGCATACATTTCAAATTTCCAAGGCTGATTTCGAATGTGCGCGGATTTGTGGATGCGTAAAGCGCAATCCCCTTAATAGCCAATGAGAATCTCTCTTGGAGGTAAATAGGTGGACTCTCATTGGTTATTGACAATATTGCGCATGTGCTTTGCACATTTAGTTTGGAGTAATATACTTCGTGCCTGCGTAGAAAACTAGGGTCTTATTGTACGTTGTAATATACGTGTAGGAAACCACGTATATTACTTGACGTATTATACTTACCCAACTCTGATTACGACTTATAAAAATGAGCTAATGCGTTTCAAAGATGGGCCTTGACGGTTATTACGAGCGACGCTGCCGCCATCTGGCGACACTCCGTCCGTACATAAAGACGTCACGTGATAAGGCTTTATCGCTAGGCAACGTGATCGAGTTTTGGAGCTTAATCAAAGGATCATCGAACCAGGGAATTATTTACTTCCTCGTCATGGGTAGATATAACGTCAAGGTATGTATGAAATATTACGAAAAACACGGTTGTGGCTGTTATGGGAGGAACTCGCCGATTGTCAATGAGCGCGACCACCTGTTCGAGGTGTGACAAGCAAACAAACGATAGATGGAAATATCATGTACGTTTCGGATACTATCGAGAGTAAAAGCGACTAGGCAATGTTACTAGACGCCCAGAAAATGTCAATGATCTCTTCCTAGCCAGATTAAGACATGAAATGCGACGCAGGTATTGATTCTCAACGTGTTATTAATTAGTCAGATACTATCGAGAGTAAAAGCGACTAGGCAATGTTACTAGACGCCCAGAAAATGTCAATGATCTCTTCCTAGCCAGATTAAGACATGAAATGCGACGCAGGTATTGATTCTCAACGTGTTATTAATTAGTCATATACGAATTTTATTGAATTATTAGATGGGAATAATTGGAGGCTCCGGTCTGGACGACCCGGCCAACCAAATCATGAAAAGTCGGTCGAAAGTAAAGCGAGAGGACGCCAAGAACGAGTTTGGTCTGCCAACGAGCGATCTCTACCAAGGAACCATCTCTGGCGTGGATGTAGTACTATTATCTAGGTAAAAAGGACCGTCAAAGAAGATGGACGAGTATGCTGATACGCTCTATTAGGTTCTATATTAAGCTACTCGAGACGCAGGCATACATATTCTATGATAGACGGTTTATCAGCAGAAAATTCCAGGATACCGTACGAATATTTCTGTTAGGCTACGGATTTAATTCCCGGGTTTACGGCGCGGACGTAAAACCCGACCGTAAATTCCCGGCGTTGGCTTGCCCTTATTTCGGTGGAATTTTAAAACAGGCATGGAGTAGGTCATAAAATAGGCCCCAGTGAGGTGAATTATCGCGCAAATATGGAGGCATTACGTGTGCTGGGGTGCACGCATGTGTTGGCATCCACAGCTTGTGGGTCCTTGGTCGAAACCATCGACCGGGGACAATTGGTCGTTCCGGATAGTTTTTTGGACAGAACTGTGAAAAGAGCCGGCACTTTCTACGACGGTACTTCGAAGAAATATGCAGGTAAATTGGTAAATAAGTAGTTGAAAATGTACCCAACGCTTTCCCTAAATATGGTGGTTGTCAGTCAGAGTTGGATAAAACGGTTCTTGATATTTATTTCAAATGGGAAGCGTAAAATGTATATTTGAAGTGGGCAAGTAAAAGATGGAAAATTAATTTTTAAGATTTTATTGAAAACTCGTGTATTTCAGTACGAGCTTGCATTTAAAATTTCAGGTAAAAAATGTAATTTAGTCAGCTTTCGCGGAAGTGGTCGTTTTTAATCATGTGTGTTGTTTAACTATTTCACGAGTGGACTTCACTGATAGGAACAACCTTTTAATCGCTTCTTTTCTTTTCTAATATACTCATTTGCATACACATTACATTGAGTTGCATAAATACGTGTCTACAATTCAGTCTTACATGTATTTAACTTTAAATGGAAACAGGTTCAAAGTCTATTTGGAATAGGAAACGCAAAGTACATCTGGTTCTCATTTAAAATACAAAATAAAAAGTGGCATTTCACATTTTAGATACGTATTTCAAATGAATTTAATTGTAATAGTTACCCAGCTCTGGATTGTCGATGAGATATGTACACTTTTAACATTGTAATGTACAAACAGGTGTGTGTCACTTACCAATGGAGCCGGCATTCGACCCGAAGACTTCTCAGGTGTTGGTGAGGGCTGCGAAAGAATTAGGGTTATCCATCAAAAACGGAGGGACGGTAGTCACGATCGAAGGGCCACGTTTCTCGTCAAAAGCTGAGAGTAACGCGCTCCGGTTATGGGGAGGTCATTTGGTGAACATGACGACGTGTCCTGAGGTAGGGTAATAAAACTTGTAATCGTTTTCTGAGAGCATGATCAAGGAAGGGAGGACGTCCTTTAAATATTTATGGCCGTCTAGGTATTCCTGGCAAAAGAAGCTGGACTTCTTTACGCCGCGGTTGCGATGGCGACGGACTACGATTGCTGGAGGGATTGCGATGAAAAAGTCCACGCCGCGGATGTGATCGCAATATTTAAACAAAATGTCAGCAAAGTTACAGACCTCCTCATCAAGGCCATAGAGTTGGTTGGGGAAGAAAATTGGGAGCAAGATATCGACGATCTTAAGGTTCGCCTAGCCTAATCCTATATTAATCATTCCAATTTCGATATCGTTGAATAACGACAATTCGATCTGGTTTTAAACTAGACTTTGGTGGCCACCAGCAACGTGTCGGCGAAAGATTGAGTGCTGTCAACATAAAATAACGGAATTACTTTAACGCAACAATCCTTGTGAAGCTAATAAACGTCAATGTCAGTGCCAACGTTTCTTTTAATGGGTCCCTCACGGATTTGTTTCAGATTTTTTTTTTTTCCGGTAAAACCGTAAAAGACAAGTAAGCTAAGTCAAAAGAAATCGCACGCGACCGTAGAAACGGCGAGCGTCGTATAACGGAACATGATATTTATTTATAATTATAACATAGTATATAATATAGAGCTGAACGACTCGGCAGTCGTTCCTTTGAATTTATCTACAAATTACAACAGTTTGCATTTGCGGCCCCCTTCTCGCGTGTGTTTATATAAACTATAACACATTTGTAGAAGTAGTAAGCAGATGCCAATACCATATTGTCACTTGCTCGATTGGGTAATTGTGTATATAACGAAACAGTGACCGCGACCACCGTACGAGAGTTCTATCGAAACATTTCTAACAACGACGAGGTGCACAAACGTACTACGCGACATTCGATCTCAGACCAGGACCTGTTCTAAGGACAGATTTAATAACGCGATTTCCGCATTTAATAAACATTAATCATTCTCTTCCTGCCTCGTGAATCATGGATCGCGATGTATGAATATAAACGAGCTCGACGTCCTTTGCCTCCATAATCCTCCATACATGATAGAACCAATCTGATCAATTATAGGCAAACGATAGATTAAAATCAATATTAAGATACAACGGTAATAAGATCGACATCATCCTAGAGCGTAAAACTAAAGCCAATGGGCAATTAAAATGCGATCTGGGTCCTCGTTACAGCACCTGGCCTAGCACAACCACGGTTAAAAATCCACCTCGGCAGAATAAAAACCCAACAAAGTGTGGTAAATGTAAAAAGAGGATAGTTCCCTTCAACAAACGGTTTGTGAATAAATAACTGCCGAAACCCGTATTTTTTTACAAACGAACGAGGTCGTTCAAGCACCTAATTTCGAGGGGGGGAAGGAGAATGTCTGTACAAAGATCCATGAGAAATACTAAATAGAATACTCAAGATGACCTAATGCTCTAGATCTCGGAACTCTCCTGAAATGTTCGAAATAGGTGTCTCTCTCTCACTTTTTGAAACTCACCGCAGGACAGGTGTAATACTTTACAAGGATATATAATTACTCGTCATCGCAAGACTCGCGTGTACTCGATAACGGATTCGCGCACTCGTACATTCGTGATGGCGAGGTGAAAATATATCGTAATTCTGGATAGGTAATTCACTGGCGTACGTAGGCAAAAACATCCCAACAGACCGTCTTCTGGATGAAGATTTAACGCCAAGTTGCAAAGTACGGAAGCATTTGTATCCATAGACATCACGAAGTCCAAGCCAGCGCGAATCGTCACCCGAATCATTCGCCATCGAAACGACCTTCCTCCCCGTTAATTAATTTTTTTTTTTTTAATTATCTAAAATTCCCTCCCACCTTGCCAGACACATAAAAGCTACGGAGACACACATTCGCTAGATTTACAGAGTTCCTCCGAGAGGTTTGGAAGTCACATCCAAAGGCAGAAGGCATTTCCCCCGGAATTAAGATCGTTTCTCAAGACGGCGATTCATTCGAGATGGAAAGTCCACAAGCCACTTATACAATTAATTACACTTATTCACTTAAGTATAGTTTCCTCCGGGTCACACCGACCGAGACTGGAATCATCGGTGCGACACGCCATCGTGCGGACCAAACTAGTACTTAACTAGTCGTCCCGTTCTAGGTTCACGCAAATTATTTACAAATGTACCATTTATATTATGCCCAGTTTAGCCTGCACTGACGCCCGAGTTTGTCGGTGATCCTGGACGTTCGATAGGATCGACTACGAGAACATTGACTTTATTTATATTGGTTTCTTCCTCCTCGCGAAACATCCCATCCCCGCCACCTTGCCGAGAATACGAATAAGTGGTCCGCCTGTTGTATCGTTACCCCAAAATAATCGGATTTCGGCCAACAATGTCCCGATGTACGGCGTGACCAATCGCCAGCTTCCTCTTGCTCGAGCCAGATAAATAGAGGATTTCATTTCTCTTCAAATTTAACATCATAGGTAGAGCTCAGGTAGCCCGGTTAAACGCGACAGCATTGATCACACCGAGACACACGGGTACGAGGTTTCCCCAGCTCCTATTGGAATTTTCATTGAATTTATGCATCTGCAATTCGACGATTACGCGACAATGACGGACTCGCAATCGGGCGAGCAACAGAGATGTGTAGTGTGCGCTGAACCGGCGAATCGACGTGGTCGACTAGACTTTATTGTCCACCATGTCGACGTTAATTTTGTAATAGACGTACGGAAAGTAGTCGTTTTGGCCGAAGCCCAAGCCTGGTATGTCCACGCTCTGTTATGACAGAATAATCACACGTGTCGATTAAAAGGATCACTTTGAGGTTCGTCTTAAAAAATACACTAGTTCATATCGCGTCACACGAATTAAGGTGATATGAAAGGGTATCGTTTGAATGTCGATCGTTCCTGAAACTTATCTCCAAACAGGATGTTCTGAACTGTTTCAAATGTTACCACGGAAATGTGGAGGCTACAAATGTTAGAAAGTATATATAAACAAATTAAAAAGAAAAAATGAAATTTCATGGGTACCAGGACCTTTATTCAAGTTGTAAAGTTTGAAACGATTCGGTACACCCTATCCGGAGAAAAGTTTCATAAATTCGATTCCTTTAACGCCACTTTCACACGACCGTAAGAGGCTAATCTCCATCTAGTATGAAGAAATACAATGAAAATAATACAATTGACTTACATCTTGGTTACCAGATTGTCCACCGGCGGATGTGGCGGAAGAATCGAGATGAGCGTAAAGCTGGTTCAGAACGTCCCGTAGTCGCTTGGTGCACTTCTTATGAGGGTGCAGCAAAATTGCCTGGAAGTTCACCGGTAATCCGTACCTGAGGAAAGGGTGTAATTTAGTAGAAATGCGAGAGTCGGCTACGGTAGGGGGCGTTGCAGAAATTTTCGGGGAAATGATCACCTAAGAACAGACTCGACAAAAACCCTGAGAGCCTTCACGTGTATCCAGGCGCAGAAGCACTCGCTGAAGTTGACTTTCAGCCAGCGGACGAGGGGCCCGAACTGCTTCTTCTTGTCGGTAACCAACTTTGTAATCTCGTTTTTGCCTGTAAAGGGGCCCAGAGTGTTTCGGCTCGTAAAAAAAGTGGCCGTCTAGACAGAGAAAGAGTCATAAGCGGCTAAAAAGGCGGCCCATACGAACCGGCAGCAAGCTCCTCCTCGTTGTACGTAAAGTCGCGAACGATGAACTTCTTCTCCCGGGCATGGAGTTTGAACTCCTCTATCACCTTCTTGAAGAGGGTGACAGTGAAGAGGCCGTATTCGGAATCTTGGGTAATAAGTACCGTGCTGCGGGGCACGATCATGTCGGTCAGCTTCTCATAGACTGCATACCATTCTTGGAAGCTCGACCTGCAAGGTACGTCAAAAAAAAGTATATAAACTGTTCATGTACCCCCTCCCCCCCCCCAAAAAAAAAACAATGCAATACACTGATAAAAACCGATGGTAATTTACATACACTTTTGCACAACTTATAACTGAAGTTTCACGTTGAATAACGTAACATGGAAAAGTTACAAATTAAAAGATGTGTAAATGCATCTAACATTGTCTATTAACCGTATTCTTGCATTTATACTCGGATAGAAACGCAACACTACGATTTTCTTAAACTTAATTTAGATACCGAATGTGACATTACAGAGACAATGTAATTTTACTGCAATTCACTGTGTCATCGAAATAACCAACGATCGAGTATGTAAATTTACATGGGCATATCTATTGGCGTAGAGAGTGTAACAAAACCCCATCGACTAACTTGGGCACGATGACCAGCAACGTGGATAAATACTCGCTATCGAGAATGAAATGTTCCTTCTTCACCAAGTCGGCCAGGTTACGAGTCAATAAGCTCCCCCTGTAAGATAAGTCATAATTACAATAAAACATGAATTACAAAAGGCAGTTAACGATGTAATCGCACGTCACCAAGTCAGCGAGTCCGAAGATGTACACTCACGTTTGCTTTTTCTCAAGGTTTTGCAAACTACCCTTCAGATTGTTGTAGGTCGTCGATTTGGTCTTGAGGTCGGCGTCGATCTGACCAACCTGTTTGCTGATGATGTCCGCGATATTCCTCAGTGATTGTTTAATCGGATATTTAGCCATGTCCCATTGGAACCGGGTAATGTACGACGGCAGGTCACCTAACGCCATAAATACATTAAAGTTGCGATAACAACGAGCATTAACTAGAATGGTCTTTTTCACGGTGAGCTTCGAAAGGAGACGCTTTCCCGGTTTAACATCCCCCTGGCGTCCTTCATTTCCATTTCATCGTTAAATAAAAAGTTCCCCGAGTCCCCTTTCCTCTCGACTTATGAACTTTATTCGCCGTTTTATCGCTCCGTTCGAGGCTGAGCTGCTCGTGAAACCCAAAACAGGGATGGCGCAACATCGTAACGTATTTCCGAGCACACCGTGAACGTAAATCGAAGCCAAAGGGTTCTAAATAGAGAGCTGAGCTTCCTTTCGACGGTGAGCTCCCCCGGAACCCTTGAGAGCACATCTCGAGAGGGAATGAGGGACGTGTTTATTCGACGCTAGAAACTGCATGCAATCAACGACACACGAGAATTCATTTTCACATTGTGAAACGAGGAGACCCGGCACGAGGACCAGGCAAAGCCAAGGTTGCAGCTACATCGAAAGGACGTACAGTGATTTATTCACTCCGTTAAACGTACGTGGAGGGTTCGGGTAAACATCAAGTGCGTCGGTGCAAAGTCGTGAATGTCAGCGCTAGGCTATGGCGCGCGGCAAAGGGAGAAACAGAAAATAGGGATAAAATAAACTCGAACGTAAAGACTCCTCATCGGCAAGTGTCATAAACGTAGGGATAAAAAGGGGGACAAGCCATTCCCGAAGAGATTGTAACGCAATTCTCTCTAAGACGCTCCAACGCGGGGGTGAAAAATTAATAAGAAATCTGGACATCCTCCACCTTCTACGTACAAGCTTTCTTTTCAACTTTTCAATGACAACGATAACACTAATCATTTTTCACACGTCAGATCTCTTTTATAAAAATTCATCTTCTTGTTCAAACGAAATAATTCTTTTCTTTTTTTTTTTTTCAAGCGTCAGATCTCTTTCCTAAAAAATGTATATATTTTTTTCTTCCAACACTAGTTCAAAAGATTTCAGCCCCTAAGTGGAGCCACTTTTCAAAGCACTGGCTGAAGCTCTCAAAAAATTGTCCACCCCCGTTTATTAGAATTTAAAATCGGCACAAATGCAAGTTGCATCTCGCAGGGTCGGTATAGAAACGAGACCGTGCCTTGCATATATGTATGTAAACGCCAAGCAAAGCGGACAAAGAGTGTCAAAAGCGATATATATATATTCGTGTTAGCTCGGGGTGTGGGTACGGGGCAGGGATAACTCGTCGTCCTAATTTGGATTGTACCGACAAACAGTGAGTGGGGTGCAGTCCATCGAACAATCGATCTGTCGGCGAGACGCGAGGGTTGATCTCTTCGTGCAGCATTCACTTAAAAAAAGAAAGAAAGAAAAAAAAACAGCAGTCCACAACAGCCGGGATCGATCATGCGGTTAGCGATCAAAAAATCGATCCGCGTATTGATCGACGTGCGTTCGCTCGTTGACACGATCCACGTGTACGCATTGTTGTCTGTAGAGTTAATGTGTATAGACCGAGTCGACATCTGACCAAGTTACGAGGTTCCCTTGTGCATGTATCGTTTGTACAGTATTGTCTCTCTGTGGAAATCATATGATAACGTGTAGAAAGCAACATTAACGTTCGACCCCATTCGCACTTTTAATCTCTTCCTCTCTTAAGGGGGGAAACGAACGACCGTCCTGCCGAACGTGAAGACGGGGGAGGAAGGGACGTCTATGGACACTCCACCGAACGCCACGTTCGACGATGTACAGTGGCGGACATAAATGCCACCCCCTACAGGCATGGAATCGCAAATCCATGACGGGAAGGCATTTACGTGCACCAGTGTACACATATGCGACGTCTTCTCGACATCCGAGAGAGTAGTCTTTCGATTTTGCGCGAGTTATCCTATTTTTTGTACACTCCTCGGTTACCTTCATTAAGGTGATGTAAAAGTGGCGTCAAAGAGGTCTCATTTATGAAACTTCTCTCCGAACCGGGTGTACCGAATCGTTTTAAAATTTACAATGTGAACGCGGAGGCTATGAGGAAGGTCCTGACACCCATGAAATTTCAATTTTCTCTAAACTTGTTTATAGATATTTTTACAATTTTTTAGAGAGAATGAAAATTCACGGGTGTCGAGACCTTCTTTAGGGCCTCCACAGCCACACGGTGAAATTCTCAGGCGATTCGGTGCATTCAGTTAGGAGAAAAGTTTCATAAATGGACATCCGATATGCCACTTTCATACCGCCTTAAGGTGATATGAAAGGGTAATTTATATATATATATATATATATATATAACGTCAAAATATGTCTAAAACTTTTCTCCAAACTGGGTGCGCCGAATTATCTGAAACTTTAACACGTTATTATGGAAGCCCCAAGGAAGAACATGGTGCTCGCGAAATTTCATTTTTCGAAAAAGAATTTCTTTTTTTGGTTCTTGTCGGAGATAAACACAAACTTTTTTTTTTTTTCGAAAAATGAGATGTCACGAGCATCGCGTCTTTCTTATAGTCTCAATAATCTCGTAATGAAGTTCCAAATGATTCTGTACACCTAATTAGGAGAAGAGTTTTATAAACATTTTGACTTTTTGGTATGTTTATGGTATGTATATACACTTTCATATCACCTTAAGTTACAGAAGGCGTATTTTAACATTTACCGTGAGTTCATCCGTGAAATCGGCGTTTTCGGGGTCACTGTCCGTTGTCACTGTACAAATTCAAAGCAGTTATTGGTTACCAATAATTAAATTCCAGAAGATCACCCTCTCGGATGGATCGTAGGAAAGACGTGGTGACGCGCTGGCGAGTGAACAAGTGCCGCCGAAAGAAACGCCGAAGTTGCACAGGGTGAATGCGAGCCGAAAACAAGAGTCTAATCCAGCAACGTAAGGAGAAGGTAACCAGAAGAAGAATATATATATATATAGAAAAATGAGAAAAAAAAATATGGAGAACACAAAGGTGTACTGGCATACGAGGGACCAACCAAGGAAATAAGCGAAAGCACGAGGAAAAGGTGGACAACGTCAATCGGGACCGTGCACTGTAAAATCGCTCGTATGTTCCGACTCGGACATATCCGGCCTTTCCCTGTCTAGAGCTTTTCCCTCGACCGATCAAGCCCAGAATAAAGGCAAACTCTCTAGAAACTGATCGAGGTCGTCTAGAACCCAAGAGTACCGGCCATGAAAATAAAAACCGCGCCTCGAGTCGAGTACACCAAAAGCAAAGTTCGACTAAAAGCGACCGACATGATTTTCGAATATTAATCCAGGGTTCCTATTCTCGTATCAATACGGATATATTTTTCGCGTACGAATAGATACGCATTAAAAATGTCGCATTGTCGCGAAGTCGCGTCATTGGTTAACGTTGGAACGTCGTATACGAAACTGTCAATTAGGCGGGTGAAATTTAATAGTACGAACTCGAGAATCGGATATCCTAGGTCAAGATCAGGTAGTCCAGACAGCGATGACGATATTTGGTGTCTAATATTCGACGCCTTGTTTAGAAATAAATTAATTATCCTGAATTATCCCTGCAAGACCACGTAATAAACCCTCCTAAAGCGCAGACCTGGCTCTAAATCCCGACAGTAACACCTCGTTCTGAACATTAATTTTCAATTTCTCTTTCATCGCGCCATTGGTTGCAGGTCCTCCAGAATGTTCTTCATCTCGAGGGTTCCCGTTTCCATAGTTCCTTCGAAACATCCCGAGCTTCTAAATCTTCCTATGGTCCACTTTGAATCACCTCCACCTTCAACTAGTCCAAATAAAACAGAAAGGGACATTTAAACTACAATGAATGAGACAGAGTAATATCGATCGTCGTCTGCGCCTTGAAACGGTACATAACGCGGACATAATGGAAACCCATCCCCTCGAAATCAAAGCGTCGAGTCATAAACACCAATCAATAAATGATTTAACAATTTGTCTAGCCTGGTCGGGAAATTCGAGGGAAGAGCCCGAACAGGGTCGCCGAATTCCAGGATCGAGCGAATCTTCGAAAAAGCCAAAACCCCTGACAAGAATCCCAGGCTTGCCCTTCGGCAGGTGAAACGTGTATCTTTCCAAAGTGCCGGGGGCAAAGCAGCCCTTCTCTCCACCGGGAGAGAAAATCCCCGTGAAATGGTCAACCGAATCGGCCGGGTACAACCAAACCACCAAGGGGGTATTCATTCAGGAAATCACGGATTTCAATGCTCAAAATCGCCGGTTAATCAGCTAAAAATCGTTCTAACTCGTTAGAAATCACCGAAACATTGTCACGATTTTAACCCCCAGGGTGTACACGCCCAAATTGTATTCCAACTTGAAAAGCGTCAAGCGAGAAGCGCCCACCGATTGTACGGCCTTGAAGTTCAATCAATTTGTTACAAAGGACTTAATTACTGTTCCATTAAACTGCACAGTTGCCCGAGATATTCGAAATAAAAATTCACTTGGGGGTGAATTTGACCCCACGCACTGAGAAAAAGAGAAGTTGGTTGACTAAACGAAATACGCACTGTGACCAGAAAGTCCTGCTCATCAAATACGTTCAAAGAAATGTCAAATTGAGACAACAAAATTAGTTTGAATCAACAACGATTCGTTTAAACCAACAATATTAATTTTTCTTTTCAACGATATGTATTGGTTTTAATGAACTACCTTTTTTCTTTTTCTTTTTTTCAGCGGGTGCACTTAAAGATTCGCCACGAAGGTGTGCATCCTAAGGGTTAAGGTCGAGTGTCACTAGATACCGAGTCGTATTTTCGCTTGTCACGCGAGATCAAAGGCAATCTGTTCTGAAAGAAGGAAATCCCCCCCCCNGGGTGGGTGGATCGGGCCCCTTACCGCGGCGGGCCATTTCCTGGGCCCCGCTTCATAGGTCAGGCCGAAGCCCGTGGCCAGGCCAGAAAGACTGAGTCCTCGATAAAAATCCGCATAAAAAAAAAAGAAACCGCAAAAAATGCAGTACAACATAGTTCGCGTCGCCAAAGTAGTTCGAACGCGCCCCAGGGTGCCATATGTAGGAGATGACAGGATGATTTCAGGATGCGTCGCTCCTCTCCAAGCAGTTCGGTTTAAATCGACGCCCGTCCTTCTGGCGTGGCCGCGAACTCCCCTGGCACCGGTCCTCCCTTCGGGGGATCAGCTGGGGGGTCAGCTGGGGGACTCGAGAAAAGGTGCCGCAGCGGTGTCCGTCTCGCCGGTAGGCGTCGTGGGGGGAGAGGCTCGAGGGTGGTGGTGGGACGGGTACCTGGGCTGGGCAAGTCGCCGCGACGGTCTCGGTCGTCGGGGTCGAGGTCTCGGTCCTCAGGGTCGTCGGCGTCGTCGGTCTCGAAGCGCTTCCGGGGTCGGGCCGGCCGGGCGAGCCGGGCCAGCCGGGCCAGCCGGTGGCAGCTGGCCTCCCCGTCGCTGCTGCCCTCCGACGACGAGGGGGAGGGGCTCGGGCTCGGAGGGGTCGGGCTGGGGGAACGGGTCGGCGGACCGGAAGCGGCGCACCAGTGCCCGCGGTAGCACGAGGAGGAGGAGCCGTCGCTCGGGCGGGCCTCGGGCTGGGGGGCCTCGGCCTCGGGGGGCCAGGGGCCCGACCTCGCCTCGCAGCCGGCGCCCGGGGGATGGTCGCGCCGCTGGTGATGATGGCGATGGTGGTGGTGGTGGTGGTGATGGCGGTGATGCGGGTAGCTATGGCGGTCCTCGCGGCGCTTAGGGTGCCGTTGGCGGTGCTGACCTAGGCTGGCTGCCGGTTCCGGCTCGGACCTCTCCGAGTCCCTTCGCGACGCCTTCCGGTGTTCTCTAGGGTAGTCCCTCGGGTGGTCCCTCGGGTGGTCCCTCGGGTGGTCCCTCGGGTGGTCCCTCGGGTGATCCCTCGGGTGATCTCGCGGCCGATCCCGCGAGCGATCCCCGGGGTGCTCCCTGGCCGTCTTCCAGGACGGAGTCACGGGCGTGTTCGGCGGGGTGTCCGGACCCCCTTCGGGGCTCGAGTTCTCCCCGTCCATCGAGGTCTGACCTAGCCAGTACAACCCAGTCCCGATCTCTGGCCCCGACAACCCTCTACGAGAGCTTCGTCCGAGAGGGAGGGAGAGAGAGATGGGGAGGGGCGAGCCCCCTAAGGACTGACGCTTCCTCTCTCACTCCTACGCAAACCAAGGCCTAACGGCGACGCCGACGAAACCAAATCATAACCGACGGGGCCGACCTGACGGCGCAACGAGTATCTAACACCCTGGCCGCCCCGGCGAGGGTGGCCACTTTCTGGATGACTTTTCCCCCTCCTACGAGATAACCTACTTCCTCTATCTGACTTCCTGGGCGAACGATCCGTTCTCATCGCGTCCTATATTCAAATTCTATGATAAAGTCCATCGTTTCCGACGCATGGTTGCGGTAGGATTGTAAATTTTGACGTCTCAAAAGTAAATTTAACGCACGTTATATGTTTCTATATCAGTCTATAATGAATTTAAAGGAATAACGTCATGTTGTGATCTTGAGACGTTGTGTTGGATAATTAATACACATGTATATTAAATTTTTATTAATCATCATACCCTGTTTCCGACACAAGGTTGCAGTAAAACTATGAACTTGCCGTCTCAAAAGTAAATCTAACGTACATTATACGTATTTCAATCAGCCTATAATGAATTTATAATAATAACGTCACGCCACGATTCCGTGGAATAACACTGAATAATGAATACACGTGTGTATGAAGTTTATAATCTATATTGAAATTATATTACACGATCAGGACGCCGTATCTGAGTAAAACCGACAAAAGTGTTACAGGATTACAATATTATCTTTTCTACAGTCCACAGATCGTCACGGCGAAGAATTCCTTTTCCAACTCAGCGTGCAAACATCAACGGACTAATAGCAGTGTTTTATCATTCTGCCTTCTTTAATTCTATGAACTTTTACAGGAGTCTCGTAACCCCCCGGGGATACCTCAACGATCCCGGAGCGTGGCCACCCTAAAATTCGCGAAATCGCGACCGACGTCGAGGATCCTCTCCAGGATCGCCATCGCCGGGGCCCGCGTGTTAAATACTCCGAGATGCGACGTAGGAAATCAACCAGAAACGGGAAATAAAAGCAAACCAAGGTAAACGACGCAACGGACAAACCAAATCAGACTAACGTAAACGAGTACTCAAAGAGAAACGAGCACAAAGACTGCAATGATATTCGCGTAAATATATATTCATATATCAAGGTATAAGGTATACATTTACGTGAATACGACGATATAGTACGGTGCAACGAAAAGAGCCAATAATGTACCAGGAAACGAAACGATACGTCTGGATAAATAAACGATAATGAACCCTATGCAGTGGCTAATTGGAGAGCTCGATGAGACCACACTAACCCAAGCAAGTCCCCGATTGGTCAGATTGGTGATTCGACTGATTCGATTGATTAGATCGGCTCGAGTGGTCCCAATGGCGAATCGACCGGGTTCGTTCCTTCGTCCCTTCCGCGCGTTCACAGCTTTTTCGGGATTCTTGCATCTCCTCTCGTCGGCCTCTTAGAACGGTGTCATACGAGATTGTAAAGGCAGTGCACGTGTATATATNATATATATATGAGCGTTCATTGATAAAAAACAAGAAGAAAGGCAGGGGGAGAAGGGTTAATGTGGTCCAAAAGAAATCGAAGCAAGCCAAGCGACATCGCAAATACAAATCGTAAATTATAGTCGGTCAAAAGTAAACGGTTAACCAAGGACAACAAGCATTCTACGTATATGGAAGATCTGCATCATCTATTGTAGAACGTGGGGTGTGTGTGTGTGTGGGTCTGTGTTGAAAGTCGATCCTTTTTGTGAATCGATAAGCCGCGTACCGGAAACGAGCTCCTGGTCGATAACTGGTTAGAAAGCGTTAAGTCATTCAGAGCAATGTCCGTGGACGAGATTATTAGTTTCGCGGGGAATAACGGGACGATCTTGTTAGTCGAGTCGTTCCGGTAATGGAGGCCGATCGATCTCAAAAGGAATCGTGGAACGTTAATACACACTGCGTCGATAATCGTGTCGTTCATTGCTAAACGCCTTAGCGGTGAGAATTTTGCCTGTGCACGAGATAAGTTAAGTGCAAGATTTCGTTGCACAAGAACTCCGCGACTTCGGTGATTCAATAACGCAGGCAAAATTGTAACGATTTCTAAAACAAAAAAACAAAAAAGAGAGAAGACAAAAAAAAACACCTCGTAGGGTATACAGGAATGTTGGGGCAATACTTGGCAGTACTATGTGTCGAACTCATTACCTCTGGTAAAGTAATTAAAATAACCTGGGTACATTAACTGATATATGTAGCAGAGACTACCGGTAAAGAAAACCAATTTCAATTAGTGTGCATGTTTTGTGTCGTGTTAAGAATTCATATATCGATGCCATTTTCTAGACGGTCGACCGATAATGTGAACCTGTAGGAACACAATATGTGGGAGGGGTCATCGATCGCCACCTGTCTTCAAGGGTCCAAAAGGGGATCGGTAGTAAGTAACGGATGCAAAACTTTTTACTTCTCTAATAAGTCGTAATGAAGAGTATACTTCGGTAGGGCAAGAACACTATGTATGATGCATCGGTCTCAAAGCCATAACTTCTTCGTGCTTCAACAAGGATTCAAACTGAACTAGATATGAAAGTAATCATTCAAACATCCCAAAAGTGTAGAAGTATGAATATAAAGGTAAATATCCCTTCTTGTAGTACTTTTTGGACCCCTGCTCATTCGGTAGCCCACCAAAGTAGTGGACGGAATGGATAAATATAAGGATAGAACAAGACGGTGTACCGAAATACTCAAGCATGGACTCACTGTTATTGGCCATCAGATTTTCGTGCAGCTTGTCTCTCTGATCTTCCAGTACCTCGCCAAGGTACGTCGCCACCTTACGAGTAACCTGCTCGACGAATGCATCTAGCTTCCCGAGATCGTCCGATAATCCCACCAGCTGATCCAAAGTTCCAACCTTGAGGTCTGGAATGTGGAACTTGTAGTTTACCGACAGGGAGTTCTGCTTTGACGTCAGATTGTTCATGGTCTCCCATGTCTGTTGGCAGGTCTTATCTCCTGGGGCGGATATCAGCCAATACTCCGTCATGGTGAGGCAGACAAGTTTCTTTCTCCGTTCCTAAAAGAAAAAAGTCCAATCGAGTTATCGATCTCTATGAAACATACAGTTCTGTGCTTTGTTAAATCGTACAAATAGAATCAATTCATCCGCAACCCTTTAACGTTCCTCTACCGGTATTTGAAACCAAAAAACTCATTCTTTCAAGGGCGAATGACTCGGAGCCACTTCGTCTGTATCGGTATTGCTGCACTTAAACTCGGTGCCAAGCTCCGGACCACTCCGATGTCTCCTCCGTCAAAACAGAGAAGGGGGTGTGGCACACCGTCTCTCTCTCCCTCTCTCTCTCTTCCTCTGTTATTACGTAATTGGACACGCTTTCCACGTGACGAAGCTCGCAATAAATGGGCGGCGCGCGTAAGTCGCACTGTGATCAATATAGAGACGAAGCGGCAGACGCATCGTAGCTGCGAGATGCGAGAAACGGCTTCGGCCTTGACTCGGTACACCAGACGAGAACTTATAGAACCAGCGACGTCCGTCTAACTCGATGGCGCTTCGCGTCTGCCTTCGAAAATCAATAACGCGTCCCGACCCGCGACAGCGACGCGACCTGTTACAATTTCTTGCGGTATGATAACGTGCCCCAGGAATGCAATACCCCGGGTCTTTTTGCGTATAAAACACGGAATTACAGACAGCTGAAGGGCGCGGGCGTTATTCGCTTCCCGATAAGTGGGGTGGTGACTTCTCTCAACTAAGTGGTTTTAGGTTAGTTTTCGCAGGACCGTTAAGTACGCTCCATACCACACTCACCTGCTACCTTTTTCCAGTCCCTCGAGAGCAGAGCTGGACGCAGAGGCTACTCAATTGTGGCCCCAAAGTTTCAGGGTCCCTGCCTACTCGTTCAGCGCGGAAGCCATGCTCTCACGTGACGGGGTGCTGCTGTCTCGCGACCCGCCCGACAACTAGCCGCGAAACAGCTGGCCATTACGCCGATCACTGCTACCAACTTATCGCCACTCGCGGCACCACTGTCGCTTCGCGCCACTCAATTCAAATTCCCTTGTTTGAAGTTCACCAAATATTTCAATTTTTCTACTATTGTGTAACTGACATTTGTTTAATCACGTGAAACCTCGTTGGAAAAGTTTCTCTACGTCACTCCACGTATCAAATTCGTCAAACTGATAACTATTCTTTGAATATATTGGAAAATGTCCCTGATATGGAGTACGATTGTGGCAAGTTTCCGCAACTCTAATTAGACTTAAAAATGTAATATGATGTAATATTTAATGAGACAAGTGTTCCCTTCGCAGAGGAGGCCTGCGAAATATTTTCAGCGCAAGGCCTTGCTATATCCATCGTCAGAAATGTTCTATTTTACACGTCTCGTAACTTCGGCAAGTATGAAAAAAATTAAGGCGAAACAGGCGGCTTTCCAAGTAAATTATTGAACAATTTATGATTTAAATTTTTAAACAAGGCATGAGAATTAGATTAAAATTAATGTTTCGTATTCACAGCGCGATGACGGAGTGCCAGTATATTTGAAAGGCGGAACCTCGGATAAAGTACTTCTCAACATTTCAGTAATTCTGTTATTAATAGGGTTGTTTAACAGCGTAAGGGCAATATATCATTTTACGAAAGGACCAGAATCTACCGAACAATAACGATATGCGTATTACAACCTTTTAAATTAATATCGAGTTGATTTGTATCTGTGGGTAACTCTTGATTAATAAAAAGTCGCATTATTATTTAAATCGTACATTTTACTTGTAAAATAACAACGCATAACATTATTTTTTTTTTTGCACATCCACACCTCTGTCTCACTGTACATTGCAAGGGATTAAGATGTATCCTTAAGGCACTTTTAACCTGGTCTTGACAAGTACCAACATTGAAGTTTGAAAATATTCGATTAAACACTAAAAATCTTTAACAGCTGTAAAGAATGGAGTGCCATTAATTTCTGAATTTTGTTAGTAGAGTTCAAATACAAATTGGGAACTAGATAATGAAAAAGTAATGTTATTGTAGTAAACGATGGAAAAGAGAAAATGCAAGCTAGACATAAAACTATTAATTGTTATAGGCTATTTAGTATTGTTGATGGATGCTAATTTTCATAACCATCTTTCTATATTGGTACATTGCAAGTTACAGGTGAAAATCGTAAGGTTGGTATCACAGAGAGAAATGTATTTACATTATTACTACAAATATGTTACAGTAATCTACTGCAGACAAATCCGCAGTCTATAATATTAAATACACTTATGTGTTTGTACTGTTTTGACTGCTGTCAACAGTATAATTTTCCCGAATGATATTTTCACTTGTAGTGCCATTCGAAACGACATTCACCGATTTTTTTAAATTCTTACCCCTCTCGGAAGGAACTTTGTTTAACATGTCCCCTTCGTCTTCTGGCAGTTTGAAATCGTCAGACTGTTGCTCAGTACTTTGGGCTTTTGGAAGTTTTGTGGCTCTGATACTATCTTCAGTAAGTTTTGATTTTTTAGTTAATTGTACAGTTGTATAAGAGTTAGCAGATGAAGTATTTGCTTTCGAAGTATTCTGTGAAGCTTGATCGTCAGTGAAGTTAGTTTTTAACTTACTTTCACGGGCTTTAGAGCGTCTCCGCGTGACGAGATTTTTTAGAGCGTCACTAAAGCGCATCAAAGTCTCAGAAATAGGTCTGTTCATATATCCAGTACCGATTTCATCGAACTCATCATCTTCTTCTGAAGTTAATTCGGTTTTAAGTTCATTAAATTGATTAATAATTTCCTTTAACGTATCTCGGGCATCTTTCAGAATTTTAGGGTCTTCTTCCTCTGTAAAATCTTTCACATTATCACCTTCATTTTCCAAAGAAATCGCCTCAACTTCCTCTGGATTATCTTCCCCAAAATCGTCATTAATTTCATCATCGAGCCACTTCTCTGAGGAATCCTCCTCGTCTAATGTTAAGTCCTTTTCAAACTCTTTAAATTGATATATTATATTCTTAATACTTTCCTTTACATTAAGGACTTTTTGTTCACTAGGTTTGGATTTTTGCTTCGGCAATTCCGTTACCTTGGAACTTTTTATTTCAGTTACTTTGCTTCTGATCTTATCTGCGACAATTTTCTTTTGCATTTTGATGTGTTTCCCCTTGTCTTGTTCACTTGGTTCTTCTGATATATTCTTTTTTGATTGGATTTCTTCTGTTCTTTCTTGGATTAGTTTCTTTACCGTTTCCTTGACGCTGACAGGGTCTTGTTGAAGTAAATTGTCTTTCACCACTACATCCTCGGGTTCTTCGATGTCATTTTCAAAATCGACTTGATGTTCCAAAAATTTAGATGACTTGTAGGATAATATTTCATTTTCTACACTATCAGTTACTTGTAGAACGTCTGGCTTCTCTTCTTGTTCCATACTCACGTTTTCCGTTTCTGTTTCATTTATTATTGTCTCCAAATCGAATATTTCTTCATCTTTATACATAGAAATCTCATCAACGTTCTTTTCCATGGACAGATCATTTAATTCTGCCCTTTCAGTATTTCCCACACTTGCATCGATACTTCTCATTGGCTCGTCCATACTTTCTAAAGGTTTTTCAAAGATCTCCAATGACTCCACAATGTCATCGAATATTGGTTCCGTAATTTCCAACTGATGTTCCTCAGTAATTTCCAATTGTACTTCTTCAACACTATAACGTTGATCGAATTCATTAAGTGTTAACTTAGTTTTCTTCGCTTTTCTAGGATCGTAAAGAATATTAGGCTTTCTTTTCATTATAAATATTGTGGGTTTCGTTTTTATTCTAATCGGGGGTATCATGTTGTACTTCAAGGTGATATGCGAGAAACCGTCGACTGAATCTAACACATCATGCGTCTTAAGACGTGGCCTCAAGTTTGGAGAGTATTTGCTCTTAGCTTCTACCAGCAGATGTGTAAATCGCAGCATCTCTGGATCGTTTAATGTCAAGTTTTCGTCTTTCGAATAGCTGTAATACGATAAATGTAAAGAGATTTATGGATGGATCTTAAATAAGAATTTTCATAATGGAGAACATAGCACACTCACATCCACGTTGGATTGGCTTGTGTGAATCGCGAAACTCCAGTTTGGGCTGTCAATGTATCAATGTGAACATGTACCAGTTCAGTACTATCTTTTTCCAGTCTATGTAATCTTGCAATGGCAAAACCACCAGGATAATTAGTGCCCGCCACGCAAAGTAGAAACATCGAAAACAGTACATTTAGTACCAAATGCCCTACAATTGTTAGAGCGAAGAGTCCATTCCATAGAGACTTTTCCCTGTTCTCCCATCTTTCATGGAAAGAAGACAAAAATTCTATTATTAAATAACAAAAGAACGAAAATAGCGAAATTAATTTAGTTTTATATCAATATGTTTGTGAATAATATTGCTTATTCTATTAGTTACGGTGACTTACATTCTATGGCAAGCAGCTGCAGCAGCAATGTTCAATAGAGGGAAAACATACATAATAAATCTCAATTCTTTATGAGGTAAAAACGAGAAGAGAAAGACAAACATGATCGCAGGAACAACAAGGACACGAACCCTAGCATCCCAAAATAGTCCTAAAGGTATCAGCAAATAGGAAAGCGCTAGTCCACGTGGCAGTGCTGAGTAAAAATACCATAGAAACGGTGATGTCTTTTGCTGATGTTAAGGCAAAATAAACTTTTCTCATAGCAGTAATTATTTTATAGACAACATTGACAAAGGATACTCCCCATTCATTGCTTTTGTTCAGTATTGTATTGAAATAAAAAACTTCTCCTTCTGGCCACAAAATTCTCCTCCAAAAAATAGAGTCCACTCCAATTGTCAGAGCTAAAAGAAGTATACCGGCTGGTACTGCAATTTTAAGTAATCTAAAAAAATATGAAATGCATAAATATGTCTGTTTAAATATTCAATAAATATTCAATAAATATTAGAATTAAATGATACCTTGGTATCGTTAGCTTTGCAGTTGCAATGTCATATAAGAGAAATAATCCCAATAGAATAGCTAATTCTGCTCTAAATATTATTATCGCTGCAGCAGATGACCAGATGAATATTACATGACTGTGTCTGAGCCAACCATACAAGGCAAGTAACACTAGAAATGAACTGTCGTCAATTAGAAAAGAAACTGTGTATCATTTCTTTTATACTTCATATCCTAATTACCTAACGGCATTGCCATAATATTTGGTAATGGTCTACTAAGGTAGTACATGAAATGATACTGTGTCACTGTAATAGCAACAAACCATTTTGTAAATTGTTTGCCAAAAACTGCTTGTAAAGCTTTTCTGTACAATTGTAGAGTAGATATAACCAATAATCCCAACACGGCTCGTACTGAAAGGTGAATGCGATCGATAAATTTATAATCTATAGAGAAACTTAAAAGTAGTAGAATAGGAGAATAAATTAGATATATACCAATATACTGGGCACAGAATTTATTAAGATTGAAGTACTTAACGAAGGCTACCAAAGGTGCGGAGATGCCTGATATTAAAATTGGTCCCAAAAATGTTCTTGGCACGACTCCAGGGAACTCATGATGGTCGTACTGCGGAAAACATGGAACTAAGAAACAAAACTTTGGATTCCTTTTAAATATAATTTACAAAGTTTAATCCAACGTCAGTACATGTAATATGCTTCAGAATATTCTCTGTATGCCGATGGCAAATACTTTACATGACCCAACTAAAATACATCGAAAAGTTAATAAATTAAGGGAACTATTAATATCTCAACATTTGGCAAGAAACATAAGCTGTAAGAACATCAAACGTTGTAGTGGGTGAGCACGATCACCGGGAAGAGTAGTACATTTTTCAAGGTAGTGTGTCAATAGAGAGAACCAACTGAAATATACTCAAGTGCAATTAAATTAGAATGAAAGACGCTATATTAGCTGATCCTGGGGATATAAATACATCGAATTCTAAATTTATAACCCTGCCTTTGAGTAACGTCTATTTTCCTTGGTGTCGGCAACCTGTCAACCGAAACAAATCGCACACATCGATAGAGGCATGAGAGATCGGCACTTCGTCCTCGCGCAATCTCGATTAATTTTAACATTAATTACCTCGTCCAAATTAGAACCGTGATACAAGATGTCATGCATAGCCTGCAAATTGAAGCTCTCCTCGACTTTAGTAAAGGGGCAGTACAGAAGGTGGAAAGCTGCTACCAGAATTACTAGATGATCCATTGTCGTGGTCTACATTTAACCCGGTCCCCGACGAAAACACGGATGCTTAATTTTATTCATATCACTTTCGATAACGCGAAAAAGGCTGCAAGTAAAAATAAACCACATCTACAAAACTCTACGACCCGTCCGAGCCGATCCGGCCCACGTCGTCTGCTATGTTTCCGTGCTCCGACCAATCACAGAATCGCAAAGTCCCTAGTGGTAGGGACGTTCATACAGAGAAGAGTTGGGAGATTGTTCACTGGATTCCATCGATGGCTTGCACCAGAGATGAGTTGGGAGATTGCTCACGGGCAGG